CGATCCCACTTTCAACGTCTCCTGGCTTTCTCCTAATGTTTATCCAAATGGGCAACCGAAAGATGGCAACCGAAGTCGGCGCACGATAGTGCATGGTTAATGGTTGTACAAACTGAAAATGAATGTGGCCACCATACATAAGAAAAAAAAATTTTCCCCTTTCTTTACGGTTTATTACAATAAACTGTCTGGTGAAATGATGTCCAACTATTGCTAAATGTCTGTAATTTTACGAGTCCGATGTCTACTATTTGAACCGGGGATCTGTTTGACTGCGGTTAATGAGCCGGTAAAAGTCGGTGTAGGTGGACCACAGCGTAGTTCCCGTCGCATGAAAAAATTTTCAATGTGTATTCTTCTTAGTTGCTCGAAAAGATAATTGATTAAAGGATCTTCTCCTGTGTCCGCCGCTTCATTGGTTTCATTTTATTTGCATCTCGCCTTGCCTCCACCCATACACCGAATTTTCTCGAATTCAGAAAGCGGATAGCTTTGGAAACCGAAAAAACTGAAAAAGAAACCCAATTGGAGCACAATCTGTTACGCAAACAGGAACAGTTGGAGGCTGAATTGGCCGAAGCTTCCGAACAGGATTTGCAAGATCGATTGGCTGAAGCGGAGGAAGAATTGCGCGAGGTTGGTTTGCTTTAGCTTGCTATCATCTCCTCCCCCTCCCCCCGCTTTCTTATCTGCCGCATACTGCAACTCTCAGTGTTTTTCATCTATGGCTGCTGCCACGTGCCAACCTTTCAGATTACAATCCGAATCTGTGATTTTCCCGTCCTTCCCCTGTGTAGGTAGAACGTCGTATCGAAGCGGCTCAGCGTACAGTGGATGAGGTCGAGGCGCGTCTGGCCGCACTGTTACACGAACAACGCCAATTGGAATCGGAGGTGGAGAGAAAGAAGCAAGAAGAGAAAGAGTATGCCGAACGCATCCAGGACGATCAACAAAGTTTGGAACAGATGCAATCCAAACAGAGTCAACTGTTGAAAAAGGTGCTGAACCGGTTTGTTTTTTGTTTGTCTTATAACGAGGGACTGCCTCCACACGCACACACACACACACACCTACTTGTGAATCGTGCACAGCCCCTCTAGCATTGGTTATGTTCAGTTCATTTGTTCCGCTCGAAACGCTTCCAGTTAGTCTATTCCAAAGAGTGGCTGAGCAGCACCATATAATTTGTAAAACCAATTCGTTTTTTCCAGTAATGAGTAAAGTTTATATCCGACTGCTAATCGACATATTCGACGGTTGACCCGATTCAGCTCACCCTAAGCCAATCGAAATGCGTTAGAGCAAGGCTTATGTGTGTATCTGAAACCTTACGTGCATATCTTTTCCGTCGAAATTCGCTTTTATAAACATTCTGTGGTTGTTTGGTGTCCTGCGCTATACTGTGTTTCCCCACGGTTTACAGCTGACCGCACAATTAAGGCGGTGATCGCTGCTTAGTGAGCAGTAGAATCATTTTGCGTTCCAGAGCCGTCCTTAGTCCAAGAGGTTGACAAGGCAACCTACCATCAAAATACGAGGGGTATGTTCTGTTTCTCAATCTAGTCTTGTTCATTGCACGGTCAAACAATCCGAAGAATGTGATTGCTTCAATTTTTATGACATAACAAGCATGGCATGCATACAGTGGTAAAGTGGTAAACTTTATACCGATAAAAACTTTCAGGCACGAGAAAATCCACACTCGTGCAAAATGCAAATTTCTGAATTCGTGCTCTGAATGTTCAACAAAATTAGGAGAAATGTGGTCCAATTCTGACAGGTTTTTCGAATCTCCTGGTCCGAAGTGATCTGGCGCTTGTGATCGGGTCTCATGAGCGAATAGCGAAGGAGGTGGAACCGAATCGGCAAGCTCCGCAGGCCCAACTCCTTCACAGTATCGGTAGGAAATGGACAGCGGGGTAATTGCACTGTAATGGTCAACTTGTTGAACACTAACGAATGGGCAACCAGGCGAAAATAGTCTAACACCGACCACGGTCCAAAAGTACAGGAGAAAAGAAGAGATCCTCCCCCGGGAACATGTCCTTACAGTTCTACAATCAAGCTTTGTAGCGAGTGAAATGTTGCAGAGCGATGAAAAACTCTTCTGTGTGAAAAAGTTTGAAAATCTTTCCGGGCACACGTCAACACGATGAGAGACAAAGCTGTGGAGGAGGAATAATGTTGGAGAATCCAGTAGAGAACTATCAAAGAGATAGAACGGATAGTCAAAATACAGGTTGTGATCATGTTTATAGGATGCAGATATACAAAATACTTTCGGTGCATTGAGAATGACTCGACCTTTATTCCTGGTACTGATGATATCAGTCAGGTTTGAACACCGGCACAGAATCGACCGTGAAGAGGCCGCTGCAATATATCGAGTTAATTTGTCACTTTTTGCTCTAATGTGTTACCAGATGACCATACCGAGCACCGCGACCTCGGTAGATCAGAAATTGTAGCGTGATTATGGAAAGAATTTTACTGTTATCATTTCATCCTTTTTTTTGTTGATTACGCAAAACCGACTTGTGTTCTGTCCAGTTTACTCTCACCACCCCCATGTACACACATTCATACTGGTCTCTTCTTCTTCCGGTCAATTTGCAGAAAGAAGAAAATATGAAGAAAATTCGGGATTTGGGTTCACTACCAGCAAACGCTTTCGATAAGTTTCAGGATAAAAGCATGAAACAGGTACATGTCCGTCCCGTTCCCATTGTCTGTGTATATGTGAACCTTTTATCATATACGTATGTATATACGCCTGAGTGTCGACTCTGTGCCAAACAAATCATGGTACAATAATGTTTATAAAAAGAAAAGCTTTCCATGATTTGCATGTGGACCGAATACTGCCAGATTGCCCAGGCAAAGGCAGGTAGATTTTCTTGAGGAATCCACAACCGGAGCCTTCGGTTAGCCAAAGCNTTTTTCCTCGCACGAGGATAGGGCTGTTTCCATAATCAAATCTATAACGAAGTTAAATAGAGAAGGAGAGAGAGGGCAACTCTGACGAACACCACTTTCGTGGTGAAGTCGGGCGAGAAAGTGCTGTAAGCCCGGACTCGACTTCGGCTATTAGTATAAAGCGATCGTACTATCTATCCCGGTGCTTGGACTTTAAAAACACGCAGTCTAAAGTGCATGTTAAATCGGTTCACTGGTGCTTATTCAACAACCTCTGACTCAAATATTTCGAAACAGTTCATAGTCGTATACCGAAATCCGTCGAGAACAGAAAAATAGTCCACAGCATTGTTGTTTCTTTTGCAGGTCGAACTTGGAACGGATTTGCTCAGTCAGTTGTCCGTACAAGAACAACGTGAGGTGGACCGTCTGAATGATAAAATCCAGGAATTGACACGTGAAGCAAAAGAAGCTTACAAGTGAGTACGCGTATGCACGCGCGTTAGATTGTTATTGGGTGGTTGGGTATTTTTAACTGGAACATATTATTTTTTTCACACACATCTGACGCCAGACTGCGTGCCAAACAAATCATGGTACAATAATGTTTATAAAAAGAAAAGCTTTTCATGATTTGCATGTGGACCGAATACTGCCAGATTGCCCAGGCAAAGGCAGGTAGATTTTCTTGAGGAATCCACAACCGGAGCCTTCGGTTAGCCAAAGCCTGACCCGCAAGACAGCGAGCGGGGCGGTGTGTGAAAACCGCAATCTATTGGGGGCCGGTGTCCAGTTCGTCGGATCGTACACCGTTTGGACGGGATCCAACGTCCAAGGTGACGAATACACCTCGATGTTCAATCGAGCCGGTGACCACTGCCACAACCGGGAGGATGTGTGTGGTTCGTACACCTTCTCTTGGTTGTTCTGGAATCAGGGTTTTGGTCCACTCCCCTAAGTGTACTACCAATGGTCCACCAACCCGGTTATAGCCCCGGATGTTGGCTTTTCGTCCTCTCACTTTGGTGAGAAAACACCTCCGCGATGAGAAGGCAGTGAGTAGGGGCTCCTCAGCAGAACTGGCTATTTGAGACGCTTGGTCGTCTGGAAGCATTCCGCTAGGTGCAATGGAAGAGTGACCAGTCACAACCCGAGACACCCAGCCCCGACAATACTGAGGCTTTTGGAGGCTTAACTGCAACACGATTGCCCCTGTTCAATGGGACCCGTGTAACTGACAAAGACATAGATGAATGTTCGGGGCTGTTCACGCGTTTGCTTGCAGCAATCTAAATTGTTATCATCTCTGTGCCAAAACCTATCCATCCGATTTTGAGGGTGACAGACTTGACAACACACTCATTCTTTTGGGAAAAAACTGGATCCGGACACGCGAGCTCAATAGTTAGTGACATTTGCTTTGCAATCTATCCCTCTATGACTTGCCACTTAGTGACACCGTCTTTTGTGAACATTGAAACAAATCGAATCTTTTGTCCGTCACCGTAAGATCCGGTTGGTATTTTCAAGTGTCGGCTGTTGGGACACTGATCAGATGGGGTATACGCCTCGAGTTAAACATTATATGACCTCGTGGGTCAGTTGATAGAGCGTGCGCTGTACATAAAACGTAGGCGGCGTCCATGCGTGAGTTCGAATCTCACCGAGGCTAGTGAACTTTTCACAATCGACATACAAACTTCAAATCTGCCAAACAGTAAACTGAACAAAACATTATCCTAACACGACTATACATGACCTAACTTCATTGTTTGGGTCATGCATTGTGCAATCATTTGCCGTTCCTCCTCCCTTTTTGTCCGCCATTCTGGCCTACACATCAAACAGGTTGTCATCATCATCATCGTTGTACAGCGTAATACAATGAAGCGAACTTCACCCATCTCTACCAAAGAAGTTGAAGAGGGCATATGGCAGACACCAAATACCAATCTGGAGGCTGCTTGTTAACGATAGCTACGATGTCATGTTTTAGCCGGTCCACTGCTTCAGAACATCCGCGTACGGCCGAACGGCGTTCTCAGCATGTTCGCCGCAATGATTCATTTGTATTCTCCCTTCTCAAGTGAACTTAATCCGATATCCCCTCTGTGCACCTTCAGGCTGGGGGGTTGTCACACTGCATTTTATTACACAACACTCTCTGCTACTGGTTAAACGCTTATCGCACTGAGCATTGTTCACCGGTTTTTTCGCGGTGGCTCGTAGGAGGACAGCGCATGATTTTCCGTGCTGTTGCGTGAATGGTATGAAAAAATCTACAATGACACCAAAAGCATCTAATTGGTCTCCAAGATCTACTCTGTCGTTTGTGCCTTCTGAGATTAGAAAAACAAAGCAAACGACAGAATCTATCACTTTTTTGCCATTCACTGTGTCTATAGTTTGAAACTGGTTTCCCTAATCCATCCACGATCGTTATTGAATGCAATCAGACCTCACGTGGCAAATGTCGTCCGAACACATTTAATCCTGGCCTCGGAGAAAATCGATATAGTAACCATTTAATTGGGGGTGATGCTCGCGACCGCCCGGATGAGTTGCGCGTGAAATAGCACTTTCCATGCAAATGTCGATTCCCCTGGGGATAGTGCTCGCACACACGCGTGTGTGTGTGTGTTGACACTGTCTGAATAAATGCTGATTTATCCACCTCCCCGGTACGATCCGCCCACCCTGATGAGGAATAGGAAAAGTTGTGAGTGAACATCCAAATTATTCCCCTCGGTGAGTCCCTCCGCCCCCCCCCCACACACACGCACCAGGTGTATTGTTCATTGAATCGCGTGACGATCGGAGCGAGTGAACGTAATTCGCCTCTTGTTCGATAGTAACCTTATGACCGGGAACGAAAATTTAGTTCATACTCGTTGAGTTTCATAATTGTGTTGTTGTAGCGTTTTAGGCAATATGAAGTGAATTGTCAGTTCGGCTTTAATATATATATATATATATATATATATATATATATGCAGACGACATTGTGCTACTAAGTGAAGATCCAGGTAAGTTACAAGCTTTTCTGGATAGTTTGAGTGCTAGTGTAGCCATATT